TTGAATTCTAAAACAAATCGCAGTGATGGCCAAACGAACAATATAGCGATCAGTCGTAGCGACTACAAAACGAACAATACACCGACTCGCTAGTCGCTGCCGCTGGTCGCTATCACCAGCCACTGGCAAAAGAACAGGGCCTTTATGTGACAAGGATGATCAAGGGAAATAGCGCTATTATAAGCAATGACTACTCTCATCAAACCGTATGTTCCTGAGAATCTTCACTGAATCGAAACATGTTGTACTCTGAAGAGCACTACACGTACAAGAGATGATCAAGGTGTGGAATGCGTTTAGGAATTTTTTTCTTCATGACTTGCACATTTTGACCATGGTAATGTCATTTCACTAAATTAAATTTGATTTGGATCAGGGTGAATTTGGAGGAATTATCAGTTCCGCGTCTAGTTCAGATGGAAATTTAAACTACAATCAGATTGTGGAATCAGCCGTGAAGGTTAGTAAAAGGCTCTTCACTAATCACTGTTCTCAAGTCTCTCAATAAAGTTGCATGATTTTGGTAATGTTAATGTAACAATATCATCTTGGATTTGGTAGCTTTATGAACAACTCATGGGGAGCAAAGAATTATTTAAAGAAGAGACCTCACCTAATACGATCATGGGAAGTAGCAAGGAAATTATGATAGGGTCGTCAAACCAGTAGCTGAATACAGAGCTCAATCAAACTGGATGCACAATTCCAATCATATCAGAAAGAACATATGTTAATTGTTTGAATCTTATCTACTCAACCACGAAGATTCAACGCATGAACCCACTTGGAGAAGATTCTCGGCTCATTTACAGAATACCTCGAAGAAGAATTAGATCAAACAGAGTTCAAACGAAGGAAAAAATTAGATCAAACAGAGTTCAAACGAAGGACTTATTCATTTTACAAACTCGGGTGATTCCCAGTTTACCCAATGTGCGCAGTCATTGAAGAATTCTGACGAGACCAAAATGAATCAAGCTACAAACCGAGTTATTCTACAATCTTGATCCATCAGGCAAGAGAGAATTTTGTCCATATTCAAAACAGCATTTATTTAAGTGTTGTTCTCTCTTTTACATGCAATTTAGAGTTTGAATTTGGTTTCTCTAACTGCTCTGCATGTTAACCTACTTTCATGGACGTTTTTGATGTATTTTCTCTATATAATGAGGCTCATTTCATGAATAAGAAGATAAGACTTTGATTATTCTTTTTGGAACCTTGAGAGTGATTCTCTTCTTTTGTCGATGGTGTGTAATATCCATTGATGTGATCATGGTCTGTAATATTCATTGATCAGCTTGGCTTGTATTGGTATGTCATATCCAAGGAGTCATCGA